GCAAGGGGTCTCGGGTTCGATTCCCAGATCGAGCAAAGTGTTATTGAGTTTAAAAAAAATCGTAGTAGAAGCACAGAGTCTGGAAGTCACTGGCACTCTATTACATGGGACTTATAAAATAAATAGTGAAAAGTGGCTGTTACATTGTACAATGGCATTAAGTGCCGTAATGTGCACCTCTGCCTACCCGTTCGGGGATAAAAAGGCATGATGTTTAGTAAGTAGAAATTAATATTATCTATCCCGAAAGGGACAGATACATTAGAACAGTCTATTACTTTATACGCATGTGTGCAAGAGGTCAATTTTAAACCTGGTGTTACCGCTGCACTGCGCGTTTTCTGCAAAACCACAACACCACAAAGAAATACTTTCCTAACATTAAATATTCCTAAATATTAAGTATTCCTAACATGAAATATTTCATTAAATAATTTTAACGGGTATTTGATCATTCAAAAGAAAACTATTTATTTAATATACATTTATATGACCTGATTAATTCATTTACTGCCAGTAATATAATGTACCACTGTTTACCTCGAAATTTAACTAATCCAACCTTTGATTGCAATATTAAACCCTAGCTAGTTACAATAGTAACTCAATTAACTGTTTCGTAGAAGCGTAGACAATTTGCACAAGCGGCGTAGACTCGTAGCGCCGTAGCGTCTCGCGTAGCACATTCAATGCTACACTGCTACAGTGCACTATGTAAGTACTTAGTAGGACATTTAATACGGGTAAAGATCGAATACTTTTTCAATTAATTTGGTTTCTCTGAATAGTCACGTAATTTAATATAATTTTTAGAAAGCCAATGGTACTTTTGCATAAAAAATACTCTTATATAATTTTATCCATGACACAGAAACTTTTATATAAAACATACGAAAGCAGTACATTTTTTAAAATACTTAAAATAATTTTACCATATTATTAAAATGAAAGCTAGCTATTTCATATGACTGTCGTTAATTCACTGTATAAATTAATTTAAAGTGTTTATCTGGTGGATTCCGGCTTATCAATGATTGACCGACGCCACGTGCGGTATAAACGTTTTAGTGAAATGTACTGACTGATAAAACCATATAATGCTCTCATCTACATTAAAATAACGAGTATGAAGCTTATTGTTACGTGGATATGAGATGTGGTTTCAGTTTATTACTGAACGTTAAATCTGAAAGTAGGTTAAAAAGACGCAATCAAGGAAATCATAATTGAGTCATAAATGAAACGTCAATTAAATTGGTTTTTATTGTGGTTTGTGTGTCGCGGGTCGCGGGTGGCGTACAAACAGGCAAATGAAACTAGTTATGATCTGTTTCCACAACGTAAATATTTGCAGAGCGGCACGCGGCGCGGGGCACATGTCAAAGGCGCCGGCTCCGGTATTGATCTAAAGCGGGGGGGCGCGGGTGCGAGGGGCACGCCGCGCGGGGGCGGGGTGTCGGCCGCGTACTACGGAGGCTGCCTTACGTAAGGGCGCAGCGCGTCTGACACCCTGTCTGCCAGCACTCACCGACGCTGATTAATAAAACAACCGTTATCGACTCGCTGCACCCGAGATATCATCGGCTTCTATCTCTAATTAATTTACTTTGAAACCCGAAACCTCGGTTCCTAGTTCATTTCGATCGCTTAAGTATTCGAAGAGGTTTAAACGTTCATAAGTCTTAACAATATCGTTACAGTATTTCCCATAAAGGTAGAACCTGGCAGTTTTCTTCATCCACTCTTTCTTTTCCACGCAAACCAACCTTTCTTGTTTTATCATTATAAATTCAAAGGTCCTCGGCGCGATCAACCCTAATTAAACAGCAATCATAAATAATTAGATAAGTAATTTAACAGGTCGCTTTGATGTTGCCATTTCAATTTTCCCTCATTTCACTAAGTCTGAGTATTTTAAACAGAAATTTGTCATACGCACAGGAATGATATTAAATTCAGGTGAAACGTAAATCGGTTTACTCCCCCCTCCTGCCCCGGCCGGCGAAACCCTATGCTCAGCGCCAGGGTTAAACCGATTACAGTAACAAGATATTTTAAGCGGATCACTGCAGTGTTAAGACCCTTTTCTCCGTTTTTCAATGTAATCACATAGTTTATCAAAAAATACAAGGACAAACCTTATTATCTTGTACCTTTACTGAGACATCAAGCAAAGCCCAAAATGTCTATTTTCATGAGATGATGAAAATCATTACACAGTTTTTAAATGAAGGCCCGAGCAGTCTTAAAACGTGATTTGTTGAGGATGCTGTAAGCTTTCCCGTCTTCCCCGCCCCATCTAAGTAACGGCCGGAGATGCTGCCGGCTGCGAGCCGCGCACCTGCCGGCTACCGAAACGTACGTTTTAAATAATTCTAAATTCCGAACCGGTGCCGGTGACGGCCGAACTTGGGCGAACAATGCCCGCGAAACATTCCCTGATTGCTAATGAGGACATTGTGGAACAACTTGAATTAAACGAAACGGAATAAGGAAATAAGAACGAAGTTTTGCCCAAAAATTCGCTCAACCGTTCTCATCTTTTACATTTCCTTTATTATTACTTATGTTATCAGCGAGATCTTTTAAAAATACGCAGCGACGTGATATGGTCAAAAGAGAAATGAATAAAAGAACTCGAAGGGTACAGCGAAAACATTACAAACGACTTCGAAGACATTTTGATAAAGTATACAAAAAAATCACTCCATTAGCTATCTACGGAAAAGTCAAAACCTCTATTATTTTCTTCTCAGTTACTTTTCCATATCAATGATAAAGAAGCAGACAGATAAAGAAAGAACATATTCAAGGTTCAAAAAACCCTAAATGTACTTACTAGGTGAAAGAGAGTGATATGTTCTGAAGTAAGTACTCAACGCCGAGACCGCGCATTATAACTTGTTACAAAATATTAAACGACTTCAAGTTATTCTAATCTCAAAAGACTCGTATCCAAGGGTAACATAATGTCTAGACAGCGTCTCCTCATACATTTCGGTGCAGTACACTTTCTATCGATTTCTCATCACACAACTGCTGAGGATAGGGATAATCCCGCATAGATAGACTGGTTTAAGCTCCTCTAAATGGTAGAGGACGGGAAAGGAGTTTTATTATGTATAAAAATTGGAATTTCCTCCACGTAGATTGGAATTTTTAAGTCAGCTCTTAACATTTTAATACGAAAATATTTAAGGAGCTTTAGCGTTAAATAACTTTGAGGTACCGTTTTCATATTTGGAATAGTTCAGGAGTTACATACCTCCTCACGATTGCTCCAATAATTAGTATTATTATATTGTGCGCGCGACTTACTATTTTTATAGTAAGTGTAGTTTATAATGGATTCCTTGCATATTTTCTTTCACACGAAGTAACGTGGAATTGTTTGCGCCTAAATACTTTACTTAATGATTATTCAGATAAGTCAGGGTAAACCATAAGTTAGAACGCATAAATTACGAAGGAATATAATGAAGAACGAAGATGAAACGTGCTCTTTTAGCCTATTCCTCAATATACTAAACACTTTACCTCTTTAGCCTTACCTTCTGACTACTTGCAATTACCATTATAACTCCATACAACAGCTGAGACATAACGTGCGTCTCGATGCGTCTTTACGTGCTCTCCACGACACGAAAGAATTTTAATTGATTCACACAGAAACTAACATTGACAATCATAAAGATGTATGAAATAAACGTTCAATTTAATGTTCAAAGACTAATCCCATAAAATATTGACATAAAATTGAACTTCACGTGTTTTTATATTCAATTTATTAACGGTGTCAAGTTCCATACGAGGGTTAAATCAATAGGTTGACTCATTCACTCGTTACGCTGATTCACCTTTAGCCGTACACTGGTCTGTAATAAATCAATTAGTCAAATGAAAACTCCATTGTAAACAATATCCGATTCAAATGAACCTAACCTGCAAAACATTTCTGTGATCCAATTCGCATTTGACAGATCAGACGTCGGACGAGCGGCATTTAAAAATAAAAGTTGAATTTCACAAAGTTCAATGAATGGACGTACAAACCGGCTGTTTCTGTCTACCATAAGTTTTTAAACTTATTATAGTTTTTATGTATTCGAATTTCAATTGTATGCTATTCATATTTCCTTAAACTATAAACGTTACGTTATAGAGATGATGACAGGGTATGAGAATTTAGAATGTATTTAGTCCGTATATTAGGTAATGAAAATATATTAGACACGTATTTTTTTATTTTTTTATATAATAAAATTATACTTAGATTACTTTCATACGTACGTATTTAGAAGTGACGTAACACGACATTTCAAATAAACATATCATCGAAAGTATTCGTTTCTGTAAGAAAATAAAAAATAGGTGTCTAATAAATTAGTCATATACCCTACTGCTAACGTCGTTAAAGGTTTAGTCTTTACGATTAACATGAGTATAATGAAGCCTAGTAACAAAAACATTAATCTGAATTCCTTGAACTTTCAAACTTACTCGGAAATATACATAATTTGTATTGTTATACCTAGAAACGACTTCGACCTTTCAACAACCATCTTGTTTAGGTAACAAATAAAATTTAGTTATACCTTTTTGGAAATATACAGTTTCTAATAGAGTACAAGTAATCCCTAATTAAATCGTATTACGCGTATTAATTTCGAGTCACAATACGATGCCCGCGCCTGAAACATTCACTAAATTGGTATCATCCTTAACAATGGCTATACATTCGTAGGTTGTTGCGAAAAATACATAAATTGTACGAGTGAGCTCGCACCGAATAAGGGGTGCTTGACGAAGTGGAAAAAAATGCTTAACCTGTTTCCCCGATCACATTTACTTCCCCTTCACAGACTTATGATGAATGTTTAATTTTTTACAAGAACCTCGCAGCTTTATATCCTCCATTTTGTTCGCTTTCTTCTATTAATCTTATTCTTGGAATACAGATATACTGTAAGCTTTCATTAAAATTTTCATTTTGTTCACAGAGTCAAGAACTGGGCGCTAAAATTCGGTGTCGACTTATGGGAATTCGGCAGACATTTTACAAAAATGAATCAAATACAAAATGTAAGTACTTATAACTGTTTTTATTTATTATCACCGTTCACTGCATTCATGTAATTAGAAGTACTGGCATACAATATTAAATAATTATATTTACTGTGTTTATGCAAATAAATCCATCCTCTAGGTACATTATCAATTTAATAATTAATCTACAACAAACGTTGCGTAAAACACAGAAAGGCTTTTGTTTCAATAAATGTTTGCTAACCACGAGCATACATCAACCTCAGCATTCGTATAAAAGCCGCGAGTGAAAATCGGACTAAAAACAAAAAAAAGTTTCCATTTCCTGAAAGTCGTGCGTGGAAGGTACGTGTGATGTTTCTCTCTTGAAGGCGGCGAGAGAGCGTGTAGCAAGCAAGCCGGATCGCCGGTCCGACGCGTACGTACAAAAACTACGAGTCCGCTCCGTGGCGCCCCCTGGCGCTGCGAGCACCCCCAACGCCCCCTAGAGCCCCCACATCCCGCGACCCAGTTACGTGTCCGACCAGAGATAGGGACACAGCTACTGTTACTAAGGCATGGTATTAGTCACTTATCGATGCATCTTGATCGCTTAATGGTTTCAATTAGTTGCTATTTGTGATCTTTATTATGTGGGGACTTTTCCGATTCTTTGTGGATGTGACACTAGAAGCGAAACTTTTGATGTGAGGTAAATTTGCGACAAGTGGTCTAATTATATCTTTTATGCCGTTGTTTTAGTGGTCGAATGATTACTGTTTCTTATGTGTTTTTTGAGTATCCACTAAAGTAATAAAAACAATACGTACCTATTGAGAAAACCATATTTTAGATTACCATGCTACAAACTCGTACCTAGTACAAGTTCATTACCAAACTCTTTGGAGATTGAGTACATAATTTGAAAAAAAATCTGTAGGTACGTGATTACTTAACTCGTCTGTGATATTATTTATTTAGTCTAGACACCAGTCGGGTTAGGGAACGACTTTTATTACGCTACCCATGTATATAATATTCAGATATTATGAGCGTGATCCCACGCTGATATAACCGTATATTTCAGGGAAATTCAATTTCCTTCAGCTTTTTGAATGATGGCAAAGTTTAGTTTGCTCGCTTGTTTAATGATGTATGTCAAATTCTGTTATCTTGTAAATTATACTTTTGGTATATAAGTACTTACACTTTCCTCAAAATATTAATTCGTTTATGAATTCATTACTTTAATGTGATTCTGTCTATTAAAAATGAGGAAAGGTAGGTATGTTGTATGTTATATTTAAACATACTTTTTATAACTAAAACGCGATTTATACGGTTTAATCTGGTTTAATAGAAAAGTTTGTAAATGAATATCTAAGAAACTATTAAAAAGACAAAATAGCTAAAGAAAAATGTTTCATAACTAACAGATGATTACGTATCGTATCGATCTTTGCTATAAAACACAAAGCAATCTAAATTCTGTGTACATCGCGGCTGTCCAAGTAATAATATGATGTTTCGCGGGAAACTTGGGCACCGCAACTTATTCAATATTAGCGGGCAGCCCCCGCAGCTCGCTATCACTTCAATAAATCATTTATATTATTAACTTTTGTATTTATTTATTAGCTTCTCTATTGTTGTTGTTTACTCCTACGTGCCTTCGTTTCTATCTAATACAGTTTCTTTATTAATGTTTGCTTTTACTGATAATAAAACCTTTTGGTTGCTTAGTAACTATAACTTTATACACAAGCATATTAGTACGTCTAATACCTTTAAACGAGCAATTCTTGTACATCTACATATATCAACGATCTCGGAAACGGCTGAAACGATTTTCAATAAATTTTGTATTGAGGGGGCTTCGGTAGCAATAAACCGATCTAACTAGGATTGATTTACAGAAAATGTTGTGTACTAAAAAACATCCAGGTACTATGCTCATTAAAGATACGATGTTTCTTTTGAAGACGGAACATCAAACAACAATGTTGTGGGAAGACAATTCGACTCGATAGCAAAAAACAACATGGCTCTTACTCCGTCGAGTCGCACGTTAATTTCTTCAGTTGTTTCTGTTATTTACCTTGCCCCACATCTCACAAAGGAGGCGAGCGACCTAAACCCACTACTCCGTGAAGGTCCAGGCCTTCACTATTCACTCTACAATCAAATTAGGTTAAACTATGAGTGGCCGCCAGAGTGCGCCACTGGCAACCGCCGCGCCAGTTCCGGCCGGGAGAGCGACACTCTCGCTTCAAAAGATTACAAGTGGACAATTGAAATTAGCAGAGTTTGTTAAGCTTCGTCTCTTAATTTTATTAAGGTAATTACAGTTAGGGTTTAATTAGGGGTAATCTTAATTTATTGTAGCGTGGTAGAACTAATGAACATTGTTTCGGTTGAGTCGAGGGTATGTGTCAGCCAAGCAAAATGATAAGGGATATTCTAAGCGCGGTGAACTCTACAGCAACAAGATTTAGATACTTACTTACGGTAGGATCGTGAATCAATGTCAATTTGATAAAATGACATCCTAAGACTACTGACAATAATATCTTGACCTATATGTGGTACCTAAGTAATTCACAGTTGTATTTACAACTGTGAATTACTTAGTGAATGACTGTAACTATAAAACGACAAACTATAAAAAAGTCATAAATAATTTAGAGCAAAAAGCATAAAAACAAATCAATCAAAAACGCATTCACGATTGCTATAATCCGATTCAAAATGAAGTTTTACTGTGAAATGAATCTCCAGCACGCTCAATCTCAGCATTCTAACGAGAATATGAAATTCCAAGACGCTCGGTTCGCGTCGCTTATGCCTTTCGAAAACTTAAATTTCATTGGTGATACATTTTTAATTAATCGCTGCTACGTATTAAAAGTTTGGCATTTTGGCAAGCCGTCGCAATTAAAATTTAATTGGCGAGGACGACACTTTGTCCCCAGAGGTGAATTACCTGCGTAATACATTTTAACGACGGGTTCATTGAATAGGGCCGTGATAAACTGCATGAAAACATCGTTCTTTTAAACGTTGCTACGAGGCAATCAGAGAGTATTTTACGAGACATCATTTAAAAAATTTAAGTAAGACCTCAATTTAAATGAAAAATTACATTAAAGTTAACAAAATGTAAGTGATCGTTAGCATATTAAGTAGACGGATGACGTGCAACAGATGTATATCTTGTACAATCTCGAAAAGCCAAAGTCATACAAGAGTAAAGTGCGTAGTAGCTCGGCACCGTTTGTTCTCCCCGGCCCATTGTGCTCCACAATAATAGGAACGAACACCTTTCATTCTTTTTAAAACTTCTGCCAAAGAAGAAAAGCGCCCATCCTTGCGTTACATATCGGCACTCACCTTTTTGACTGTATTCTAACTTTTAGAGGAAAAATAACAAAACTTAATGTTTCTTTCCGTCGACAAATGGCCTTATAACTTTTTATAGTTTCAACGTTTTATTTAATAGAGTTTCATCGCTAAACAGATATGCTACATTAAAAAAAAGCACACTGCGATATTCTAAAATATAAATAAAATCATGAGCGCAATAAAAATTAGTTACCCCATCCAAAGAATTCGTTGTATTTCTTAAAAATAACTGTGTACATTTTAATTAAAATTTCGTTTAGCAAATTACGACGTTTTCTTTTGAATTCGTGTCAAAAATGAATATTTTTTATTTACTCGGTAATTTTCTTATGGAAAATTTATGAAAACATTTTTGTGATTTTTACCATTTGAAATATCACAAAAATGGTTTAATTAAGTTAAGTGAATTATATACTTATCAATTTTTTAAGTTTTATTAATCATGAAGTACATGCTTAAGAGTGGACCTATGGGTCTAGATGTAAGTTATTAGATTAAGTCTATTTTATCCGTGAAGTATATTTTATCCCCGTCGACATGAAAGATTATATTATAAATGATATAATTTGCCAACATAAGGTTAATTAATAGATATTATAATATCAAGATTAAGTCCAATCACATCCATATATTAAAGTCAGGGTGTGAACGGTTTCGATCGCAGCTCGTCCGCGACCACCAACCGCCATTATTTATTTCCATTCTATGTATTTGGAGCTGTTGAGAGGCGCGCCCACCTAATATATTTCCCATCGGTTCGTGTTTTGGAATTCGCTTAGGATTGTACAGCACACAAGGCGATCCTGCCCTTTTCACTACGTATTTTTTGTTGGCAAATGGAGTTCCCTTGTGTAGTACACACAAATGCGGCCGGGCGGAGTAGAAAGTCCTGTCCAGCGCACAAGAAACGTTGGAGCGACGGCCCTCGACCATGACGCCGCAGTTTTTACTGCTTTTATTTAACATAGTTGATTATTTAACTGTCCCACATACTACATCAGTTTATAAATATTTTGTTACTTGAAAGCAAACATTTACACTGCAATATTTTTAATCTACTAAACAAGTATCTCTGTTAAATTCAATATTCAAGACTTTTAGTCCTAAACAGCGCATAACCATATGCAATCACCGCATTAGATAGTTATATGATGTAATTGTAGATAGAGTATTAAATCTAATCTGAATCAGGTTTTTACATAGTATATAACACACACAACAAAGTATAAGGCTCCTAATTCGGCGTTCAATAATACTCTAATACGGGTCTTCCAGCGGTAGTCGCAAACGGGGCAGATTTCCTATCTACAGTATACAGAATACATACGTATGTATACGCATGTGACACACTCTTTGAAACCATACAATCGAGCCTAGGGTTACAGTTTTTGAACTTTTGCTCGAGAATTCTGTGAATCGATGTTTTGGTAGCAATGGTTACCTTCAATATTACATACTTGCCACCTACTCTGTAGTGTGTACAAAGCGTAAATAGACCCTAAACCTAATACCTAACTTAAGCTCATAGAATTCATGCTTCATGAATGAAATAAATTATTTAATGTAGTTTGCTTTATACTCAAGTTAATTATCAGGTTGTTTCGATAATTAGCTAAGTACAAACGGAATGTTGTCAACAACCTACTTTTACAGACTTAGCTCCTTAATGACTTAAAATAGTTGAATACATAGGATTAATCATAGGTCCGCGAGGGTGGTGTTGACACACAAAGCCGATTAAATTAACTGCCTTAATTGAATTTAGGTTCCTTGTTAGCCAATGTGTCCGGGGTCCCCCGAGCCGGGGAGTACGGCCGTTATGCAACCACGCGCCGCAGTGATGCCTGCCCGCCGCCCGCCCGACCGACCTACCGATTAAATTACGAATTAAATACAACACTACCTAATAAATTGACTATTTTGATGATGTTCGACGAGTTTCAGGGTTTATTAGTGACTCAGTGACTTAGGGATGTTCGAAGTTAACAAACGTGACATTTGTACTATGCAGCTTGTTTAGAAACAGGCCTTGATTTAGCCGTAATGTATTTATTATTCATTATAAAGTTCGTCGACTGCAAATAATACGACAATGTGCAACTTCACATCACGTCTTTTGTACGCACTTCTTATTTGAATGGCATAATATAGTGTAGTTAATAGTATTTTAGAAAAAAGGTTCGTGTACATAATGATTATTCATTTAAAAGAAGGTTTGACATCTTGATAAAAATTACTGGACGTTTTCGTGTAATCATAATGAAAAATGACCATTAATCAATATAAAAAAAGAAAATTAAAAATAAATGGTAATGGCGTGTTCATACACTTTTAAGTTGACAGCCAGTATCAGCGCCTAACCTAAATAACATTCATTTACAACAGATTATATTAAGAAAAATAAAAAATGTGTCAATTGATGCAGAATTACACAAAATAACAGTTAATATTATTTCCTGCAAATAACACGAAGTATTAGGTATTTAATTCCTGCAACAGAAAGTAGGTAATTAAAACTCAAACTTCTGTAAAGTAAATAAAAACCACTGGCCATCAAGACACGTGTCAGAAACAAAAAAAAAATTAAGTCGTTATTTGACAAGTGACATTAAATTGGCGGGAAGCTGGATTGTTTAATTTTGTTTACATAATTAATTTTTATACAGCGCTTATTTTGGATAGAAGCTCTGATATTATTAAATTCGTTCCATTAAAATAATAAATGATGGGGAACGATTAACAGCCTCCGTTCATACATAATGTTGGTCTGCGGGTTAGGGCCCAAGGGTCAGTAATTTCTCCCTCCCATGAGGCGCCCTAAACTCACGTAAGCACATTTTTTGTTTATTAACACTTGAATTTTTTACAAGAAACTGGAAGCTTAATAATTTTTTATCAATATTGATTAAGATTCCGTGGAGGGATTGATTATCACAGGAACTTAAAAAATATGTGTAACTCAACTTTGCTCTTTCGGTTAATTTTTAGTAAATCATAGAAGTATTTATTGAATGTTAAATGCTAGTAGACAGCCCTATTAGTTCACAAATAAACTTCGTGTACAGGGCGGGATTAAATCAAATATCCGTCGACCACGACCCTTCCTCGGCCACTCGACTCCAACTAGCTTGCCACTCTATTTGCACAATTAATATCGTTTTCCTTGATAGACTAGGTATGACGTTTCTCAATTCTATCGAGAGAAAGTTGTTTAAACGATGTCAATAATGTAACGTGAACCTCCGAAACAAGTCATCAACTTTTCCCCGCCAAATGCCATATTTAGGCAAGGATTTCACTTATCTATTTCCCCCTATTATAAAGCTCAAGTAGGCTATCGATTAAATGGGATCTCCGGGTGTCGTTGAAGACAATGTAATATGAAGGGGAGTGTCGTGGGCAGCGGACGGACGTCTCTATGGCGCGCCGCCATTTCCCATCCGCCGCCGATGGTACCCTTAAAACGAACTTTATTGACTGAGCGGCAGCTGGTTTCCCGTAAAACGTATTACCGGCTGTCTATAAGCTGTATTGCTTTTTATTTCCTCGCTCGTCCTTAATCTATGAGATGTTCGGAATTAACTGTGTTATTGCAGGCTCCGTTTCCGCGATAGATAAGCGGCGGTTTTGTTGAAGCGGTCTGTGGAAACGTTAATAAAAAAATATTATAAGCACAGTGACGCATCTCGTTAGATTTGATAGTACAACAAAGGCGACATCGGGCACATCCAAAATTCAATAACAAGGCAGCACGAAGCGAGCGCCTCTGCCGAATAACAATAATTTGGCAGCCAGCATCCGCCAAATTCCGGATGTGTTCGTTCCATTTTTAAATTTGACAGGTCTCGGGCGAGTCGCGCGCGGTTCGCCCCGCGCACCGCCGCCGCCGCCGCCATGTTGGGAACCAATAACTCAACGCGTAATGTAGCGCGAATGCGACACGATTGTTGTCATTTTCACAAATTATGCGAACGCTACATGCCTGCCAATGTTTATCTGTGCTCGTGAAAGCATTAAATTACGCGTGCTCTACGCAGATATTACTTGCACTAGTCTATTTGCTGCGAACTATTGTTAAGCTTCATATGTATTTGCTGATGGGAGATAATTTGGGTGCAGCTCATGATATCTCTACTACTCTGGCCACACAGCTGCCAGCATGAAGAAGAATACGTTGCACGTTGTTTAAATTATAGTTCGACATTGTTCGACAATCAAAGTGCAAACTAAAATGTACTTAAAACAAATTAATGTGTACGTTATTATTTTATTTTCATCAACCCGAGTATATGTATCGAGTAATAAAAATAGTTTAACCCACATACCTATAACAGTTATGGCTATTAGTTTTTAGAATTATTTGTTAATTTCATGTTAAATAACAATATTATTGTGTGTTCTCAGAAATACCACGAGTACAACGTGGACGTTGTGCGGAAGGATGGCTTGCTACTCGTGCGCGAGCTCGCCGCTGAGGTCAAGAACCACATGGACTTCAAGATAAATGCAGTAATGGTGAGTGACATAATTTTTACTTGTATTTAAAAATGTATCTCAGAAAACGTAATTATATTCAAATAAAATAACTCGAGAAAATGTGCACAATTGTTAACTATGTATTGTATGGTAATAATGAAAGTTCTGTATTATTATCGATTGTTAATATACTTAACATATTTTTTACAATCTAAATTTCATATCTTACCAATATATTGAAGCGAAATGCAAACAATATGAGCAATGAGCATGCTACAATACTTGCTACGCAATGTGCTACGAGCTACGACGTAGGTCTCGATGGAAATTATCAGAGCGTATCAAAAGAAACGTATTTATAGACCGATATATTAAGTTCAAAACATCTATAAAATTTGCTTATTAAATCGGTATAATATGTAAGAAAATAAGTGGTGACAAACGTAAAACGGGAAATGGACAATTAATGATGAAGAATGACTTGTACAAACTACAAATTGCCCTATATTATCTAATACTAGCCTCTGTCAGTGGCTTCGCGCGCGTTCCTGTGGGATATAAAGTAACCTGTGTGATACCATACCATGTTCCATACCATAATCTATCGTCTAAGTAAGAAGTAAGATTGTGTATTTATTAAATAGTCTCTTGATATCCCACAGACACAACTTAACCACAACTACGAGTATATACCACCTTGTACGTTATTGAAATAACTGTATTCTTCATAGTTACTCTTGTTAATTGTAAATGACTTAAGTACATTTTAAAATGGCTATAAAATATAAGGTACCCGTACAAATGGCGAGCCTTAGATAAGCTTCTCATTTGTATTTTGTCATGTCCCATTGTTTACACTCCCTAAAGGCAGTTTTTTATCTGTCAGAAAAAGCGAAAATAATTTCTCATTGTGACATTTTGGCTCAACAGATCTAAGATTATGTTCAATTAATTTGAACATTCAAAGTTTTGCGTGAGTGAAGCACTGACCTCATTTTTAATCAGTCTTTTAAAGCACAGTAACTTATAAATAAAAAAAGGCCACCAGTACAATATACCAAAACATTTATTATATCATTTTAAATAATTGTCATTCACAAACACTAAAATAATATATTAAGGATACTGGTTGCAATTTCCAGTGGTAACAGTGGTAGTCGTTCGTAACTTGTAAACATGAAATCGTTTAAAAACAACAATAATAGCATTATTGTCTCATCAATGTATTAAAGTATGCCTCGTAGACTCCATCCCATGTCCGCATAGTTTTAATAATTAATTTACCTATTAATTTTATTAGTAGACTGGAAACTAGTACGCCATTTTGAAGATTTACAATATCCCTACTAGGAACTAGAAGCCTACGTCTTTCTAAATAAAATGTAACCAGATTTAATTAGTAGCGAGTTAAATTTACCTAAGCCGAGAGTATTGTATAGAGGATGAGTGGATGGTATGAGAGCGCGGCGCGGTGCGACAGTGCACTGTCGACATACGACCACGCGCCACTGTTCGTGAATCTAGTGCACAATACAGAAATCCTTTCAAAATGAATTGTTGTGCGAGTCGAGATCGAGCTATGCTCACACTCGCTCACTGATGTCTGTACAATAAAGAAACGAACATGAGGGATCTTCATTAAAGCAAATAAAACATTATAGAACTATATACGTTTAGGTATCTTTGTTCGTAAATAAATATTCACAAATAGCACTTTTTAAATGAAGTAACAAAAGCAATAAAACCGCTGACTTCCAGTTCGATATAAACTCAATAAGAATGTGTTAACGATGAAGCGAGCGAGTTGAGAATTGAAAGTAAGGATATTGCGGCGACAGCGAGCGTGCCATCTTCTACATTAACATATTCAACAATGGTCGATGTCGAAGTTGTGCGGCGCTCTGCTGTCGCCGCCGCGCTGCGCCGAGCCGCGCCGCTAGCCTCGCCCGCGGACACTCGTCTTCGCGATTTGCCGCTCCCACTAATATTGGAATTCTTTTGAATCTCAACTAGTCCTCTCTCTGCTTTTACCCCGAGCAACTTTCAGTCGAATGCTAAGTTGACAATTTCGAGGGAATAAATCTCCCCGCTAGCTCTTTCTGTTCACTATGCAGCGTTACATATTATAAGTCTGAAAGGGCTCTTCGAACAAAGTTTTGCATAAAACCATGTCTCGTGTCTGGTGTTTGATTGCGAACACGGAATGACACGCGACAAGTATTTAGGTACCCATGTCATCTTTTCACTTAGACAAAGTTTGTTAAGCACTTACGTTTTACATGTAATAATTCAGGCCGTGAGAAGTTACGCAAAGTTTTATGAAGGAGCGATGTTTGGAGTGTGAAAGCCAAGTTGAGCATCCGCCGCGGCGACGTAATTATTCGATCCGTGCCACCTCCCGAATGTCATTTGTGGTTTTTGTCGGTACCCCGACGTTCTCCTTTCCGTAAAAGTTCGTTTTTGTCGAATCGTCCCCCACCATCTCTAATGAAGGCCTACAGGATTCAATTAACCAGAGGGATTGGAATGTTTTGTGATTTGTACCCAGTACGGAATTCTATCAACGCGCTTCAATTCAATGCCTAGCAGTATTCGTGCAAATTAAATCGCTCAAAACTCAAAGAAATTGCTACGTCGTCGTCGACTACAATTCACCTTTACTGTGATGGAACTATAGAATTACAAGACTTATAAAATGACGAAGAAATACATTTCATAACAGTAATTTTTACAGTATTGAAAAAATATTATGACTATTATTAATATTATCTTCAAACGTATAGAAAGTGGTAAGTACTTGTGCCACTTACAAAGAGTAATAGGGCGGGCTGGGAGCGCCATGGTGGACGCGGCTTGGTGCGCAAAGCTGCGGCGGAGATCTGTCGATCCTCAGCGAGATCGCTGAATGCACCCGCCTATTCCTCCATTGCTGTGTTTGCGTTCTGACTATGCACTTTCAATTTGACGTATTGTTCAATGAACTCGAACCTTGTGTTAACATTGAGTGTCTGAACTCGTGAACTCCCGCCATTTCTTTGAGGCTATTGAAATTTTCTTGGCACGTAACGAAAAAACATTTTATTATATTTATTAGATTACAACATTGTCATATTTTACAACCTTCGGTTATGATAAGTTGAGCGTCTCACCCTAACACAAATTCCTCTCTATTTTTACCCAAACTATTTACAAGCACTCACCTACCTTCGCCATATCAAAGCATCTGATTCCTTTAAAGTTGAAGCATAGTTGAAATTCCTCTATGTACATAAAGTTTAGCAACATTTCGGTGAAATTACCCGAGTGTCTGAGGCGGGGAGGCGCATCGATTGAGCAATAAATCATAATAATATAATAGGTATAATGTAAACAGTGGCCGCGGGTGATGCCCACCCTCTAACCTCTGTCGCCCGGCCCCGCTTGCCACCATGCTTTATTTAAACACATAAAAATGTACAATGGAACAGGTTACACTGGAAGTTTGGGAGCGATACCAAATATTAGCTGAAGGCATGCACACATATTTATTTTGTTCATACGTAAAATATTTAAGAAAAAGAAAAGGACAAAGCATATTGTTATGGGTACGTGTATATATGCTAATCTATAATGATACCATACCCTTTCATACATAATGTACGACCTATTTGTCAGAAACTTTAATATACAGTTTCTACTGATACGAAGAAAATTTATAAATCTGCTAATAATGTAGAGCAAACATGCTTGATTCTTTTAGTTAATCACTGTTCTTGTGTCATGCAAACCCCTTAACGCGTTTTATAATTTAAGTACATTTTTAGTGATGTAAGAACAAACTGTTTATTCTTAACATAACATAACATAATATAATATAAGGTCACGCTTTTACGGCACTTAATGCAATGTAACACCCATTTTCACTATTTATATTACGAGTCCCATGTAATAGATGGTGAGCCTATTGCCATATGCCTGGCACAAATCCAGACTCCGTGCTACTACTGAGATCTTTTTAAAAAACCCAGTAATACTTTGCCCGACCCAGGAATCGAACCCGAGACCCCTTGCCCGGCTGTCGCACTTGCGATCACTCTACCAATGAGGCTGTTTATTCTTATGTTGTGGAATAGATAAATGTTTTATTTATAATTACATAGTACAGCTATGTAGAAGCACGTAATCGTATGCTCGTCATAATTTAGGCGGAGCCGTGAGCCAGTAGTTGCATACAGCTACGGCCTAGTTTCAAACGCACTAATTGCCTCTATACTGCACCCAGTACTATTTAATTATTCTATGTACTCGTAAATATTTAACGCAATTTTTTTTATAATAATGTGGATATGTAATATATAGTAATTCTTGGTAGTGCTTCTCGATTCTGAGTGAAATAAATAACAAGTAAAATAACTTTTTACAAATCAAGCATCAAGAAAAAATAAAATATACCAAAAACTAAATGGAAGAACACTTAGAAAACATTAAAACGTGTCATTAGAAATCGTGGTACACAGTTTCACAAGAACCAATTAAATTGGAATTCCAGTCGTCTAGCCCATTACTTGTAATTGCCACGATATACCTGTACGAGTGCAAACAGCCACAATAAATGCTGCGATTGCCATTTAATAAAACAGAGTTGCTCGCCACTTCATTCCCGGAATTAATGATATGGCCTGCGGTAGGTAAGCATTGCTCGTATAAATAAGTTCGACGGAAACACGACTGAATTAACTGTAACGAGTACATGCTGTAATATGCATGGTATTACTACTACTGGTCTTTGTTATTTATTATTATATATTGTTATATTGATGCTATGTAACTTTACTTTTTTCATTAGAACAGATACTTTTGTGAAACGATTTCTCTATATACATAATTTCATTCATATTTTAGAATCCCTAAGGCAAACACTCCGTTCGAATTCGAAAATAGCAATGAAATGAGATCGATACCAAGTAAAGCATATCACAAATACAATGTACAGGTTGTTACAGGATTCTTTATCAACTCTTTTATACCTTTTTTATTTTAATAAAGCTGCCTCGTTGACC